TCTTGTGGGACACTCTTGTAGGACACTCTTGCGGGACACTCTTGTAGGACACTCTTCTGGGACACTCTTGTGGAACACTCTTGTGGGACACTCTTGTAGGACACTCTTGTGGGTCACTTGCAGGACACTCTTGTGGGACTCTCTTGCGGGACACTCTTGTAGACACTCTTGTAGGACACTCCTTGTGGGACACTCTCATAGGACACTCTTGTGGGTCACTCTTATGGGACACTCTTGTCGGACATTCTTGTGGGACACTCTTGTGAGACACTCTTGCAGGACACTCTTGTGGGGCACTCTTGTGGGACACTCTTGTAGGACATTCTTGTAGGACACTCTTGTGGGACAATTTTGTGGGACACTCTTGTGGGACACTCTGGTGTGACACTCTTGTAGGAAACTCTTGTGGGACACTCTTGTGGGACACTCTTGTAGGAAACTCTTGTGGGACACTCTTGTAGGACACTCTTGTGGGACACTCTTATAGGACACTCTTGTGGGACACTCTTGTGGGACACTCTTGTAGGACACACTTGTAGGACACTCTTGTGGGACGCTCTTGTGGGACACTCTTGTGGGACACTCTTGTGGGACACTCTTGTGGGACATTCTTGTCGGACACTCTTGTGGGACACTCTTGTAGGAAACTCTTATGGGACACTCTTGTAGGACACTCTTGTGGGACACTCTTATAGGACACTCTTGTGGGACACTCTTCTGGGACACTCTTGTAGGACCACTCTTGTGGGACACTCTTGTGGCTGTGGGACACTCTTGTAGGACACTCTTGTGGGACACTTTTGTGGCACACTAGAAGCAGTCCTGCGAGCGTTTCGTACGAGACGTCCTCCAAAAGTCACGCTTCGAGGCTGCCCAAGACGAGCGTTTCGTTCGAGACTTTCTCCAAAAGTCACGCGTCAAGTCTCCAAAACGAGCGCTTCGCCAAAAGTCACACGTCAAGTCTCCAAAACGAGCGTTTCGTACGAGACTTCCTCCAAAAGTCACGTGTCAAGTCTCCAAAACGAGCGTTTCGTACGAGACTTCCTCCAAAACTCACATGTCAAAGTCTGCAAAACGAGGATTTCGTACGAGACTTCCTCCAAAAGTCAAGCGGAAACACCCATCGGAGCACACACATCACGCAGCCCTGCCAAGCAGTTTCGCGAGTCCAGCCCCTCCAAACAATACCCCCTCACACGCCAATCCCAATGTGACAGCGACATTCACCTCTACCACAACTCACGACCTCACGATTCCCTGCGCCTGCCACGAATCTTTCCGTATCCACACGTCTAACGCGCACAAAGTACTGCGCCTGCCACGAAATGTCACCTCCGTCACACCTCGCAACCTCACGATTTCCTGCGCCTGCCACGAAAATCGCACTTCCACACCTCAAAATCAGCACAAAGTACTGTGCCTGCCACGAAAAGTGAGAATATCATCTCACGTGAGCTTCAACAAAATTTGCACCACACCACACGTTTAGAATGATTTCGACCCGTTCTGAGCACACTCCCATCCACCAAAATCGCCATTTCAGCTGAGACTTGTCACGAAAACAGAGCTTCGATGCCACACCCTGAAATGCAAATCCCAATGGCACGGCCACATCCAACACCCCAAAAACACGACTCTCCAAACGCTAATCCCAATGGAACTGCGCAGTAAACTGCGGATCTCTCAAACCACTGCGCCTGTGCAGCGAAATGCATCACGCTTCTTGCGCGACATGTCATTTTCATGCAAATCACAATGGAATAGCGTCGCAAACTGACACGTGACACATCCATGAAAAGTCACTTGCAAAAGCTTCCCCCAATGGCAGCGCCTTAGCGTCCTACTGCGGACGGTTGCGAACGGTTGCGAACGGTCGCAAACGGTTGCGAACGGTTGCGAACATAGAAGCAACGGGTCGCGAACAAGGCTCCACCCCCAGACCCCCAAGAGTTAAGGGAAAAAACAGTAAAGGAAGAAAGGGAAGCTAATGCAGGGTTGTCACGCTGGAAAGTCAAATTTCGTAGCTGGTAGCAAATCGGATATATTGGGGACAGCGCAGTGCCTTCCCCAAGAACACACAAAATGTTGTTACAGTAGAGGTTGCCGGAAGCCACTAAGAGCCACCAAAAGCCAACAGAAGCCAATGAAGCAAGCAAGAGAAGCCACCAAAACCGACAGAACACGCCACCGAAAGCCATGAAACGCAACGAAAACCCAGAAGCAAGGAGAGGCCACCACAGCCGACACAACGCAAGCCTCCTCGAGAAGCCATCGCAAAGCTTGCGGAAGCGGCGAGAAGCCGTCAAAAGCAAACGGAAGCATGCGAGAGCCCTGGTGAGCTCCCCACCTCTTTTCCTATCACCTCCTCCCCCACTATGCCCATTTTGTACATGAACTCCCCCTCCATATGGGGTGCCCAACAGGCCTCTTCACCATAAAAAAAGGGCACCCCCAAGTGCCCGCTGCATTCTGTTCCCTCCCTGTTCTCATCCCTCTTTTCCTATCACGTCCTCCTCCACTATGCCTGTCTCGTCCACATGAACTCCCACCTCATATGGGGTGCCCTTTTGAGTCCAGCAACTAGACCTCTTCGCCGTTAAAAAAGGGCAGCCCCAAACAATTCAAAGCTTGCCCGCCGCTGCATTTTGTTCTCTTTCCTGCCCTCAACGGACCACAGCATTACATGAACTCGCGCCCCATATGGGGTGCCCTTTTGCGTATAGTTGACAGGCGTCTTCATCACCAGGGCGCCCCCAAGCAACTCTAACATCTACCACGTCCTCCTACGCTATGCCTGTCTTCCACCTTCCCCACAGCATTCTGGTTCCTCACAGATAACACAATGTCTCAAGAGACACACACACACACACACCTCCCTTTCACACTATTTCACTGGCCATGAGAGGCGCACATCTCCCTTTTCTGGAGGAGTTCTGACAATTGTTCGCGTCCCGTTGTCCCCTCTTTCCTATCATTGACATGAACTCCCTCCCCTGGTAGAAAACGGTTTACATTGCCTCCTGAGCCCCTGATGCACTACTGGCCGTCAATTACATTACCGGCATCACAGCACCCCCAAGAACTACTCATGTTCACTACCAAGTGGCCCTCTTTTTTTCGCTCTCCCCCTCCAGGCTCTGGGTCAGCCTCTCCGAGATTGGCCTGCTCGCAACCACCCCCCCACACCCCCTTTACTCACTTCGTTCGCATAGCTACCTCAAGCCTTGCCTAGCGGCTGGCTTTCGTAATTGTTGGTTTGAAAAACCATTCCCAATCAATGACAGACAAGAAAAATAAGGATTGAAATACCACATATCAGACCCAAGTCCAATGAGTGCAATGGTGATGCAGCTCTTAGGGCCATGAATGGCAGGTCATGCATGTGTGCCAGCATTGCGAACACTCTTACTTGGAGCTTCCGCCAAGGTGAGCACCCTTCGCCTCAACCATGAGATTCATGCCAAGATCCTCAAAGCGCCGTTTTGCCCAAGCAACTCAAGCTTTGAATTCCAATTTAGATTCTAATACTAATTCTTGTTTCCAATAGCTTCTTGTTCCTAGTAGTAAGGCCAGGAGCCCCTAGTAGCGTCCTTGCTTCTAGTAGCGATGCCCTTTGCTCCTAGTAGCGTCCTCTTCCCAAGCTATGCTACAGTTCACGGCACCAGTCTATTCCCACCTCCCGGACGTAGTCTGCACATCTGGCCATAAGGGTGCCGATGATCTGTCTTGTCACATTGGCCTGGGCCCCGTGAGCGGTGGCCAGTGGCTACATGGGCTCAGTAGCTTCTAGCATGCCGCTTAGCAAGCGCAAACATTCCCACTAGCAGCTACATCTGTAACTAGAAGAACAAGCACATGGTGCATGATGTGTCCTAGCCTGACAAGAGGTCTCTGAGAAGGCCTTGAAAGCCTTGAATATCCCCATTAGCATCATTAGCCCTCAGGCTGCCTCCAACTCTATCATTTTGATGAACTGCGTCATGTCGTACCACTTGAGTCCGGTTTGTTCTTGCTCGATGACCTCGGTGTGCAAAGAGAGGAGCCTACTAAGCCTACGCAAAGATTCAACCATGTATGCACTGCTGAAAACTCCAACAAAATAAATGGTCTATCCATGTCTTTCCTTGTCTATCCAGCCGACAACAATTGCCAATCCAACGAAACAAATGAATACTGTAAGGAATTGATCGGGTGAATGAGGTCACTTCGTGTATAAGCATAAGTCTGTACATGCTTTTGAAAAAGCACCCACAGTCATCAAGGCAGCCTGAGAAATCTTCTGCTGAAGTGCACTTTTCCTGCAATCACGGAGCTGCAAAAGTGACGTTCCCTGACCACAAGTTAGTCAAGCAGTTACTCACAGCTGGCGCCCGAGCGACTGCGAGAAAAGGAATTAAGGGTGCATGTCGAGTCCAGTATCCAGGTTTGACTGAAAATCGCTGAACACCTTTTGGGATTTTCCTGTTCCTTCAGCAGAAAACCAATTCAGTTTGTGATCTCTCTTGGCGGATTCTCGCCTTTTTCAATCCGCAAAACCACTCCGTCCACACCCTATTGGTCGACTGTCACAATACAACACGTTTGAAGAGGGCCAGCCCCTTTCGGAGAAAAGTATGACAGGCGACCAACAGTGGTTACGGCCATTGGTCTCTTTATGCGACACTGGCTTACCCTGTACATTTGGAGCTGTGTGAGTGAAACACTGACATTGGCCGACCTACCGTCAAGGCAAATGTCTGCACAACAAGTGAAAAAATATCACCACAAATCGCACCTATCTATCCAAACAACTGCGTCAAGAAGGAATGTAAGTTGCTCGATGGCTGTGTACAAAAGGATCAACAAAGCGACCACGACACGACGTTGTTAAATCCTAACATGTTGTTTTCAGGGAAAACTCAAAGTCTTGCATATTGTAACTCAAACTCTGCATTGAAGGCATTGGAACCTCTTTCGGGTCCTTTTGGTGCCCTTGCCAATCCTTCTCAGCTCTTTTGCCTTCAAATTCCTTCGGTCTCGCTCAGACTTGCGGAGGGGGACCTCCATGCGCCCGTGCACCCCGAAGTTCCAGGGCCTCACGGCGAGCAGTTCCGAACCACGCACCCACTCAAATAAAAAACTACTGCCGATCAAACGCTGAATGGTTCAGGCTTACATAATGATTTGGTTCCTTGGGAAACTTAACTTTTGATATCCGCACAAGCCTCTTGCCGACTTTGATACCAGCCACGTCGGGCTTGCAAATATCGAGTGCCAACCTCACCATGATCCGTGAACATATGTATGTTTTAGACTCTAGGCTCTAAACAGTGATGCATTGGCTCTAGATACATATGTATATATTAATGTTGCCAATGTTTCCTACGTCACACGTTCAATCCTCTCAAGCCGTCGTCTCTCTGGCTGCAAAACAAGGGTGGGCAGGGAGAGGTTCTTGAGCCGGAAGCCATAAGTGCAGGGCACCTTTCGAAGCTCGCTACATCCGAGAGTTCTGCGCGGGGCGCTTGGAATGAGACACAGAGATTGTGCGTGCATTCATTTTCCTATTGGTGAAAGCCTCCAGCTGTCGGCTTCCCTTCCCAACTTCGGGCCGGTGTTGCATGTTTGAAACTTGTAGCGGAGCGACCTGGCGATCACCACGGGGAGTTTGTCAACCTGGGGCATTGACTGCCGCTACCCGTTTGTGGCCGTATGACTGAAAGCATTCTCGCGGGTTCAAAACTGACTGTGGCAGCTTGCTCTCTGGTCATTATTGTCTCGCCAAGAAGTAATTGTACACTGTTTGCATGAAGACATGAATACATGAGTAGATGTAGTGTTTTCCTATCGTGCTTTTGCTCTTGCTCAGCGAAAAGAGAATTTCCTCCGGCCACTTTGAATGCATGGTGCACAGAGTCGCTGCGGCAATTGGGCGCCATTGGCAGAAAAGCGACCAATGGCCTTACAGACCGCGCACTGCAATGAAGAGCCGGTCCTGTGGCACAAATTTGCTTCAAGAGGGCCAAAATGGCAAGGAGAGGCCTAAAATTCCTGAAAGGCTTGTGCCCCTGTGGCCTTCCATTGCTCTGGTCCCGTAAGTCACAGTCCTTAAGGCTGCGCTGAGGTATAAGAAACGGTGCCACAGAAGCAAAGCGCTCAGAGCTTCCCTCCTTGTAGCTTCAGAGGGAGAGTTGTCAAGCCATCTAATCCAGCTGCGCTTTGTTTGACAGAGAGACTTGAACCCAATTTGAACTCGCCATTCATCTAAGCACAAGCTGGGGCTGTTACCCCAAAGACGATTCCTGGCGAAGGTTCCATCTTCTGTCTTTTGCTCACCTGTTCCTCCGTCGGTCTCTTGAGCAAGGATAAACTCTCAACCAGCGAAGGCATGATCTCTCTCACGGTGAGGTCCATCAAATCTTGGTTTCCTGAAGCTGCACTGGAGCTGCTTCTGACTGGAGGTGATGCGCTCCTGAATTCCTTTCATGTCATCCACCAGCTCGCGGTAGGCTTTCTTCGCGCTGTCAATCTTGAGCCGTAATGATTGCTTCTGGAAGACAAGTTCCGCAGCTCTCCCACCTGCTGCTTGGGTAAGGTGGCCACAGACTGCTCTGTAGCTCTTTTGAACCAGGGCGTGGACCGGTTCCGGCAGATGGGCCAGGTCGTCTTTGAACACTTCATTGATCTTCAACAATGGCTTGCAACTTCCGCTGCGTACCCAAATCCAGCGATGTCCAGGTGCCACTGAGGATCTCAGTTCCCGAAAGACGAAGACGCAAAGCCAGGGATGCCAGGGGCGTAGACGGAGAGAGTGCCGGGTGCCCTGGGTCAAGACTGTGGCGTCAGGAGTCCAGCGCCCTTGATGGAGACAAGGGGACGGCCAGTTTGAGCTGAAACGGCCTTGAGCCCCAAAATGGCTATGGGTTGTAATACATATATATTATACAATGTAGTTGCACATATACTCTACGCTTGTGTTTGTGTCTTGAGGTGACACGTCTTAGATGCCACTTGAACATGTGGTCACTTGGGCATGACCGAAGCCCTTGTTTTGCGCTCGAGAAGAAAGGGCATTTGCTGTCCTTTTGACCGGTTTAGGTCTCCACGTGGGTTATGAGCCCAAAAGCTGAGCGCTGAAAGCCAGGAGCTGGACCTCTTCGATGGAGTCGGCAAGCTCCGGAAAGAGGAGGATCGATGTGAATCCATTCTGGTCGGAAAGGATCAGGGGAGAGGCGATCCTCAGGAGCTTGAGGCCGAAATCTCTGCCTCCCGCGGTTGAGCGGGGTCGAGGACGGGAAGGTCGTGGATTGCCTGCGATGGCATTGAAAGCGCGGCCTGAAGAAGATGAAGCTCAGGAAAATCGGCCTCGTGGGTCTATGAATGTGGAAAGTGTGATGGCTTTGGTGCTGCAGCAAAATTCGGAGCTGCAAAAGGAGGTGTTCGCCTTACCAATGGCAACTGGGGGATTCCCTCCTGTTTGCATGGTCCCCCCCCTTTTTGTCACAACGCACCGCTCGGAAATGAGGACCGTCGTGACTTCAGCCACAGGGTCGATGACTGCCGCGCAGCCAGTAAGCTGGATGCACCGCTGGTAGCTCCTACCGCTTGAGCCTATACACAACATCAAGAAAGAAGGGGCAGAAAATGGTCCTAGTCTTGATAGCCAGCACACCAGAATGGTTGCTATCCCTGGAGGTAGTAGCACCGAGAGGTTGATGAGAGTTTTGCGTCAATCCGCCCAGGCTGTTTCAATTTGTCCAAGGAACTTTGTACGGCGCCATCACTGCACCAAAAGAGTGGGCATGATGGCGGAGATGGTTTGGGGTGAGCAGGGCGAATGGCGCCTGGTGAAGCTCCCTGAGGCCAATGTTTGGGCCATTCATTGAGAAGAAGGTCAAGGGGACCGGGGTGGTCCATGGCCACGTCGCGGTGTACGTTGACGACGCGTGCCACGTTGACAGCCTTCATCGAAAAGTTCAGGTCCATGTGGACGTGCTCCGAGGCCAATGTGGAGAAGGATGGTGGGGGCTTTCGCATACATCAAGAAAGCTACATCCGGTTCATGATGGCCAAACATGAGATCGAAGGGATAACTGCCACAGGTCGAGGCGCCGACCGAGGATGAGGAGGAGCCAGAGCTAGCTTGCATCCGGCATGCCCAGGCGCTGACGGGTGAAGTCCTTTGGGTAGCCTCTCATACCCGGCCAGAAGTGTCCTTTGCAAGCGCTGTGATGTCTCAATTTGCGGTCAAGCGGCCAAAAGCCGTGGTCAAGATCGGTGAGGAGGTGCTGAAGTACTTGGCTGGTACGCCAACCTTGGGGCTGTACTACGGCGCTGTGGAGGAGATCTCCGGTCATGGAGAGCACCACCAGCTCCCGATCAAGAGGGACCGCAGGACCATGGAGGCTCACTACGATGCAGCATTTGCTCCCGGTGGAGGGAAAAGCATGACCGGCTTGGTCGTGAAGTACGCTGGGGCGCCAGTCTTTTGGGCCTTGATGAGGCAGGCCACGGTGGCCTTGAGCACGGCAGAGGCCGGGTGGAGGCGCTGGTTGATGGGAGGGCATGCCGCGCGTTGGTCGAGCTGTTTGAAGGACCTATGGTTGGGGCCATCTACAACGACAACAATGCAGCGTTGTCGATCGCCACTGGGGCGAGTGGGTCATGGAGGACGCGCCATTTGCGCATCCGGGCCAACGCCTTGACGGAGGCGGTGGAAAAGAAGGAGTGGATGCTATGGCATCTGGATGGGGGCTACTTGGGCGGCGGATGGGCTCACCAATCAGTTGGCCGGAACCTTGCATGAGCGGCTCATCAAGGAGCTCTTGCTCAGGGATGGCAGGGAGGCTGCAGTGGATGTGTCTGAAGCGGCTCAATCCGGATGTCCATGATCGGATTGCGAAGGCTGCTGGCCTGATTGTGGCTGCTGTGGCACTCCAGGGTGTCGCTGACACGGAGGAGGCCAAGGGTGATGACGATGGCAGGAGTTTCTTGATCCTGATCGTGGTTTTGGTCCTCATAGCGGGCTACATCATTGGCGATGCCATCAAGCGATATATGGGCTTGCGGCTCTCTGGAGGATGTTGGGCGCCAAGGACATTGTGAAGGTGAAACTGCTCCGTGAGGAGGCTTTGGTGCCAGCACGAGGCACATTGGGGTCAGCAGGATGGGACCTGCACGCAGTCGATGGCATGACTGTGGATCCTGGGCGCAGTGCATTGGTGGGCACTGGACTGGTGATGGAGTTGCCAGTGGGCACCTATGGGCGCCTGACCTCAAGATCCAGCACGATGGTGAAGGGGGTGAATGTTGGGCCTGGAGTCGTGGACCGCGACTTCAGGGGTGAGATCAAAGTGTTGGTCATGAACGGCTCTGACCAGCCATATGTCATCAACCCGGGCGACAGGGTTGCACAGATGGTCATCGAGAAGGTCTATGAGGGCGAGCTCAAGACCGTCAAGAGGGTTTGGCTCCACTGCCACCTACGTCAGGCGTGAGGCTGAGATCAAGGGAGAGGTCGAGGACCAGGACCTTTCCAAGAGAGGCATCACCAGAGGAGGTGAATGTGACCTACCATGGTGATGGTAGCACCTCGACACAGCGGGTGACTGGAGAGAAGGTGTACTTCACGCCTCTTGCCATGCACACCACTTCGGTGAGGCGGCCTCCGGTGACTACCAGCCAGGAGATGGTGGAAGTTGAGGTCGGGAAGAGCAGGAAGCTGAAGCGCAGCCAACTACTTCTGGTTTGGCTCGAGTGCGATGGCACGGCCGATGCGCAGGTGTTCCACGTGTGCCGGGATTGCTCAGCCATCCGGCGCTCCAAACTGGTGCTGGAGATCCAGAAGCGTTCGGCCTGCTGGGGCCGAAATGAGATGGACACCACAGGCGAGAGGTGGCTGATGGCACAGGACATCGGCGAGACTTCCCGCATCGGGTGGGTGGAGGCCGGACTCTCCGCCCATGCGAGCGATGCAGATGGGCGACTTGAGCTGACAGAAGCTCGGAGATGTTTTTGGAAGTGCGACCTCCAAAAAGGGGGAGCGCTTGTGTTTGTGTCTTGAGGTGACACGTCTTAGATGCCACTTGAACATGTGGTCACTTGGGCATGACCGAAGCCCTTGTTTTGCGCTCGAGAAGAAAGGGCATTTGCTGTCCTTTTGACCGGTTTAGGTCTCCACGCGCTCTATATATATATATATACAAATAAAATCAACACACTCCCTTTGCTTTGCTGTTTTTGGAAGTAGTTCTGTTTCTTGGCAGTAGCTTGGTACTTG